AGAATGCCTCCCATACCCTAGTAGTGAAGAAAAAAAAAAAAAAAAAAAAAAAAAAAAATTGCAGAATGAAATCGCTAAAAACGATTTTGAAGAACACAAAAGGATTTGCACTTAAAATAATTTTTAAAATTGATTTCTTACATGTAGTTGTCTATCCATCATGCAGAAAAAATAGTTATTTTGAAAGAATTTTTTATTTTGCTGCAAAAATTATGACCAAGTTAAAAGTGCTTGTTATTAAAATTTTTAGGTTGTGCATACCTTTAACCTAAAAAAATATTCCTCATATAAAGACAAAAATCAACTCATCTTTTCAACCCTTTTCCTTGCTTGATATTTACCATGTTGAAATTCGTTTTTTTTTTTTTTTAAAAAATGCAATTAATTTCTCAATAATTCATAATCATCTTCCCTTGGAAGAGGGCGTGACACTTTATTTTAAAAAAAACTAGAATCTCCTTCACCCAAGGCAAGGTTAATTTAAATTGGCCCAGTTTTTCTTGAGAAGATGAAAACGTGAAAACTTTAAGACAACGGCGAATTTAGACAACGGTCAAATTTTGATCAAAAAAAGCTCACTTCAGCCTTCGATAGGTTCAGGTGAGCTTTGAACTTCATTCATATAATGTTAGGGCTGAATCTGAAATTTTACCTAACCAATATTCAGTAGACACGTTCCCAAACCCTTGCTGATATTCTGTCCAGTTCCTTGAAAAAGACACAGATCCATCAATCCTCTTTTGAAAAACCTGCACAAAATATATTCACTTTTATATTGTTGACCAGCTGTTCATTCAATATTTATACAAAATTGATCTTTTAATTTGTTTAAATAGTTTGTACAACTATTCTTTTCAGTTGAAGCACTTACATAACCAAGATGATATTCTGGCCTGTTCTTTCATGGAAAAAAATCAATCAATCCTCTTATAAGTATAATTTTTTTCTTTTTAATTCCATATTCTTTGTTAATCATCTGTATCTGATTAACATACATGTAAATTTACCTGAGACAAAGTATAACGATGGAAAATATGCTTAGATAATTGGAGACAATTAGATTTTTTCTATATTAAGGTTAAATAAATATCTTAAATTTTATGATTAGAAAACATGCTGAGTGGATTTATTTCTATATAAATAAATATTTGAAATTATTGTTTTACACACCGTCCACCCTCCTCCCATTGTGACCATATCACACCAGTACTTCTTTATATGTATTGCACGGATGGATCTGGTAAATACCCGTTCTTTTGTTTCCCTTTTTCAAAATTTCCAGACAGTCCATAACAGCAGCTTCCAGAAAATAAAAAAAAAGTAATATAAGAAATTCGAGGGTCATTCAAAACTCAGAATGACGCTATAGACGTCACATAGTTATGAAATTTCACAGAAATATGTATTTTAAAGATAAAGTTTGGGCAACATTTTTGTATTTAAAAAAAATCCTACTAAAATTATCGATGTGCTGATATGGATGATGGAGAGGTAAGAAACACAACGAAAAATTGAAACAAGCATGCGGAATCCAAAATTTAACTCAATAATTTTCTATAATTCGTGATATTTTTTGACAATTTTCTCAAATGTATCTTTAAATTATTCTATTATTATGTATTTAGATTTCTGACATAATATTTTAAGTACTTATAGAAATACAGAGATTTTTCTCCGATGCGATTCCCGTGAAACGACTGTGAAAATGACGACTCCTGAATTGACGGCGCACCACACTTTTGTTAAATTATGTGTAATGCTCGAGATATCGCCACCACATATTCAAAATTGGAATTTTAGACTATTTTTTCTGTGCAACAGTTCCGCGTAATTTTTGAACGGCCCTCGTAATTAAATACTGAAAATCATCTTAACCCTCGCTCTTTCCCGTGATCAACTTAAGGACAGTTGAAGTATGTTTGTGGTAATGTCAACTTTATACCCTTATATCTGCTGAAGAAGTGAAAGCTACGTGTATTAGATAAATATAATTTCTTTTTTTCTAAATCTGTAACCTAATGAATTGTCACAAATGAAATACCTATTATGTTATTCTAGCTTGTTCATGATTTTTGTACAGTACAGTAGCATGCTGACATAGATTACCGAGGTACGTACATATGTTACAAAATTGTCCTATCCACTTTTCAGATATCCACTAGGACATCTGCCATTGATAGCATCACATGTGGTTTCATTTTTACAATATCCACATTTTTGTACAGGATTCTCCAAAATATCCACGCGGACATGCTGCAAAATCATATATATATATTTTGCAATGATAAAAATTGAACACTTGTGTTTGAATTTAAACATTGACCTTAAACAATTTTTAAAATAACAAAATGAAATTCGTACGTGAACTGCATGTAGCCCCAATCCAACCAGGTGAACAGCCATTGGGACAGGTTCCGTTTATAAAATCACACGTCATTCCGTCTTTACAATGTCCACAGTCACTGTCACATCTCATTCCAAATTTACCCGATGTGCAATCTGGAGAAAGTAGAAATGTACTTTATTGATCAATATTATTACGGCGCCGCTGGAGGGCCAGGTAAAAAAAATATTTTTATTTGTTGGACAAATTAGAAATTCGTTCGGACGAATTGGTTATTTGTTCGGACGAATTAGATATTTGTTCGGACAAAAAGTTATTTGTTCGGACAAATTAGATATTCGTTCGGACAAATTAGATATTTGTTGGACGAATTATTATATTGTTCGGACAAATTAGAAATTCGTTCGGACGAATTAGTTATTTGTTCGGACGAATTAGATATTCGTTCGGACGAATTAGATATTTGTTCGGACGAATTAGATATTCGTTCGGACAAATTAGAAATTCGTTCGGACGAATTAGTTATTTGTTCGGACGAATTAGATATTCGTTCGGACGAATTAGTTATTTGTTCGGACGAATTAGAAATTCGTTCGGACAAATTAGAAATTCGTTCGGACGAATTAGAAATTTGTTCGGACAAATAAGTTATCTGTTCGGACAAATTAGATATTTGTTCGGACAAATTAGAAATTCGTTCGTACGAATTAGAAATTTGTTCGGACAAATTAGTTATTTGTACGGACGAATTAGAAATTCGTTCGGACGAATTAGTTATTTGTTCGGACAAATTAGAGAAATTGTGAACAACTATCAGGACACCGCGAATAATGTGCGGTTTGCACCAAGACCTTTCATTTTATTTTGATTCTTTGCAAAATAACTTTAATGAACAACATTATCAATAAATATTTTGAAGATAAGTCGTTTTAATGTTGATCTCTTTCTTATGATTTTTATGTACATATTCACTACCGTGCAGTTATTAATCATGACGTGAATTTTTTTGAAATACATTTCTGATACATATGTCGCCGATTTGTAGCTGAAATATTGCCGATTCGGCGTAAAACATTCAATCAATCAATCTGGTACATATGCGGTGTATAAAATGATAAAAGGTCCTTATTGAGTTTTTAATTAAATATTCTTGTTTGTGAATTAAGAAAACTTCACAAAAATGAACCTGTTCGTATTGATCCCAGGTTGTTCGTAAGACTCACGAGTCGGTGAATTGCGAGGTCAACCGATCAATCTGGTATATTCCCTAGTCCATTCATTTTCAGAGCATAATTATAGCCCCCTCCCGTTATTGGAGAGGTACATGTAGTCGAACAAACTATTTAATTTCACTTTCAGCATTTCTTAATTTTGTTTATACGCTTTTACAGTTGAGTACCAGTTCGAAGGTTTGATAGGCCAATGACTCACATAGAAAGGGAAATTATGAAAGCAACCCCTTTTATGGGGAAAATAAATCATGAATGAATGTCAAAATATTTTCAAGTAACACCCCCCTCCTCCTCTATTTAAAAAACGATCGATTGTCTTAATCATTGAGAACCTTAACTTGCATTTAATTATGATGTGTTTTTAAATTTTACTGCACTTTCTAGGAACGTACATGTATTCATCTATTTTTTATCCTTTTCCCAGAAAGGGGCGTGTGTTTAATTTGGTCAATATTATACCTGCATGTTTTAATTCATGCACTTCTCTGATATTTAAATATAAAATAAATTTATATAGATACTTAATAATAGCTTTTAACGATCTTAGAAAGAATCTTAATTGGAGATGGACTTATGAGATTCCCTCTTTTTGTTCCTTTATCACAAAATACTTAAATGTGGGAACAGCGGTATAGAAGCAAATCTACAAGTAAGCCCCACCTTAAAAAAATTAAGACCCTCGAATAAGACGCTCGATATTTTGAGTCCGAAGTTTATTCAATATAATACAATGCAGCCACGTATAGCATCGTTTTTTAAAGAGGGGGGGGGCTGAGAAAAAAATAGCTACCTGAAAAGTTGACAAGCAAAAAAAAGGGGGGCACAAGAAAAGTTGCCCAAAGTTGACAGTCCTATTTCGTGGGGGGGGGGGGGGCTTACTTTTTCAATGCCAATTTTTTCCCGTACCAATTGCCTGCAGTAGGAGTAAAACCTTAAGGAGTGGATCTCATCTTTTCAAAGAAGCGGTAACCGACCACTGGCACCCCAGTGTTAGTCAGGGATGGGAGTGAAAAGATGTTTGATAAGAAGTAACTTACCCTTTGAATTTACTAGTGGGCTCTCAGAAAATATACTTTCAGAATGGCAGACTTTAGGCCTATAATATATACCGGTATAGATCCATTATTTCCGAATGTTTACAATCAACATACCCGACTTTAATATCACATGTCTAGTTGCTACGTGTGTATGTCATGGTCTATTTATGTATTAAAAAAGGATGAATCCTCCTGAATAGACAAAGTGTATATCTCTCTTTACAGGATAATTTGTGCAAACATCTAATTTGCCCGAACAAATATCTAATTTGTCCAAACGAATTTCTAATTTGTCCGAACAAATATCTAATTTGTCCGAACAAATAACTTATTTGTCTGAACAAATTTCTAATTTGTCCGAACGAATTTCTAATTCGTCCGAACAAATAACTAATTCGTCCGAACGAATTTGTAATTCGTCCGAACGAATTTGTAATTCGTCCGAACGAATTTCTAATTTGTCCGAACGAATATCTAATTCGTCCGAACGAATTTCTAATTCGTCCGAACGAATATCTAATTCGTCCGAACGAATTTCTAATTTGTCCGAACGAATAGCTAATTCGTCCGAACAAATAACTAATTCGTCCGAACGAATATCTAATTCGTCCGAACGAATTTCTAATTTGTCCGAACGAATTTCTAATTTGTCCGAACGAATATCTAATTCGTCCGAACAAATAACTAATTCGTCCGAACGAATATCTAATTCGTCCGAACGAATTTCTAATTTGTCCGAACGAATTTCTAATTTGTCCGAACGAATTTCTAATTTGTCCGAACGAATTTCTAATTTGTCCGAACAAATATCTAATTCGTCCGAACAAATAACTAATTCGTCCGAACGAATTTCTAATTTGTCCGAACAAATAAAAATATTTTTTTACCTGGCCCTCCAGCGGCGCCGTATATTATATATGTAGTACGCATTAAAATTTTTTACCGTTACTGATGAAATAAAATATCGGAACCTTATTGCTAATGTTAAAAAAATTCAATGATGTTTTTGATTAATAATTAAGTATTTTAGAACTTTTTTGATTGACTTTAGATCTATGCAAATTTATATGGAAACAGCAATAAATACGGTTAGATATTTGGTAAAATGAGCAAAATAAAAGTTTGATATTAAAAAAAAAGGTATTTGAAAAATAACATTTTAAATTGTAAATCAAGAAGGAAATATAAACGACATTATTGAATTAATTCTGATTTAGTGCTTGTCTAAAAAGATATACAGATGTAAAAGCCAAAGCCAAGTTTGAAAATACGAAAGAAAGACATAAGGTATTGATTAACATTGAATCGTAATTTATTTTTGAGTTATTTCTGCTTGAAAAGACGTATTCCCTTATCAACAAACAATTTTATCCTGCTACTACCCCTTGCATTGACCTTATAAAGGTAACCTAATAAACCAAAGCTTAATTCGGTCACTGCCCTAAAAAAGCCTCGTGCATGTATTCCGACGTTCTAAAAGCAATGTGACGTCACGTATATTGCAATGTTTACGCCATGGCGTCATAGTTTCAAATGCAGAGATGTGCCTAAATCTATCGAAAATTGCTAGTTTTGGACGTTCAAATTTAAAAAAAAATATGTTGCTGGATAAACAAAATAAATGATAACTGCCTTGAAATATAAGCGATATCTGGGCTCGGTTCGAAAACGTAGAGGAGGGAAAGCCTCGCCCTATATATATCACGTTTACTTACCCTCGCCTAAATATCGCTTATATTTCAAGACAGTGATCATGTATTTCATATTTATCCTTACTATTTAAGGCCTTAACTGAGAGTTTTATAGAACGTATTGTTTTTCATATGTAAATGGTATATATCGTACTTTGTTTGCATAAACTTCCTGTCCACCCTGCTGAGCAACCATGGGTACAAGTGCCGTCAATAGAATTACATGTTCCCCCGTTTCTGCAATGACCGCAATTATAGCTACATTTGTTTCCAAACGTTCCTGCTGCACATGCTTGAAAATAAATTTAATACAGAAATTTTATGCTTACAATCAATAAAAATTATTATTTTAGCGTTACAATTATAATTGTAACTAGATACGATCTCGTTGCGAGCAACGAGAGGTCTTTCGTCCGATTCAGGAAAAAAAACCTTGTAAAATCGAGTGGAAAAGTGATTCAATATTTTCTTCACAAGGAGGATTGAACCCAGGTCGCCAACGTGATTGTGCTTTTTTTCTCTCTTTATCAACAACGCGCAAACCATTAAGCTATTTGGAGTACTGCTCTAAATATACTTGTGTATACTTTTGCAACAGTACATCTGTCTAAGAATTATAAAAGGCGGGCCAAATTTCATAATTTGGCGCCAAACGCCACGAGTAAATATTCGCGCCTTTTCTTTGGACTGATCTATTAAATAGGTGTGATAGCTTCAATGAAATTAAATAAATAAAACGCTCTTATCGCCTTTATTTTATTTCGACGTTCAGAAGGTATATTTAACACATTGTACACATTACATATCGTATCTAGCCCAGTTACACTAAAGCAGTGAAACGGAAATAAAGTTTTAAGATTGACACTGAATTACAACGTACTACTGCGTGAAAGTCCAAGTAGTTTTTTACATTTCATGTAACCTTATGTCAGAATGGTTTAATCAAACACTCAGCTGCCTCCATAAACCCCTACTCGCGAAATGGCGGAGTTGACAGAGGCAGACGCCATCTTGGAACCACTTCAGATTTTCAAATATAAATATCTAGAGTTCAGATAAACCAATATTCAAACAACTTATATAGTAAGCATCAATAGAAGAGTTTCTATTAATATTTCAAAAAATAAATAAAAAAGTTAGAAAATACAATTTTTTCAACTCGCTTCTCCTAACGACAGGAAGTACTGACGACGAACAATAGGTCGCGTCCTGGATAATATATATCACGATCTATAATCCCTGAAAGTTTCATGTTGAAATCTTTTACCGTTATTGAATTTAATCGTGGACAAAATGTCATTTTAATTTCGGAAAATTGTCCTTAACTTGGCACCGGATAATAAATTCATGTTATAACACAGCTGTTCTGAAAATTTCATGTACATGTAATTTCATCCAGTAGTCTTCGAGAAATCGCGTGCACAAAATTAGAAAGTCAAAAAAATAAGAATAATAACTACAGCAAAGCTCGTTGCAAAGCAACGAGTAGGTCTTCCGTCGTGTTTGACCGAAAGTTACTTTTATTTTTTTTTTTACAAAAATGAGTGATAATGCCGAAAAATGGTTTAAATCCTCTGAATCAATGTTAATTTATGCAAAAATAAGCCAGTTTTTGCTACTTCCGGTTTGACCGGAAGTGATGACGACGGACGGAAAATTAATTTTTATGATCCCAGTGACCGATGTTACCCAAAATCTTGTAAAGAATAAAGGTTTTCTGACGACTTCCGGTTTGGCCGGAAGTGACGTCGTCCATCGTAATTTGACGACTCCAATAGATAAAGCTTGATATTTTGAACAACTTTGCTTCTTTGACGTATTGCAAAATCTCAATACTTTTTGAGATATTAAAGAAAAAATTTTGACCCCGCTAGGCCCTTAATTTTAGGGGCCAGCCCTTTTTTCGAGATATCATTTGAAAGATCTTGGAATTCTACATTTCTTTTGTTATACATGTTTTTACAAAATATTTCTTGGTAAAAAGTTATCGTTGAAAAGGTGTGAAAATTTTTGAAATTCACGAAAGGACTATTTAAGGGCATTAACGAACTTCCGTACACAGCAATTTAGGTGAATATGAAATGCGTTCCGCACAACTACATTTATTGCTCTATTATTACTGAAAATCTCAAGTTTCTATCTTAAGCCGTTTTTGAGAAAACTCGCGGACAAACTAACCCTCTTAAATTCAATAAAATGCAAAAATCTCGGAACCGGAAGTGACGTCATCAAAATAAAATATATGTCTAGATTTTTTCATGTTCCATCAGCCCTGAAAGTTTCATGAAAATCGAGCAAGCCGTTTCCGAGAACTCGCATGCACAAAATCGGTAAGAAAAAAAAGAAAAACTGTGGAAAAGAAACCTAAGAATAACACAAAGGTCTTCCGTTGGAAACGGAATACCTTAACTAGATACGATCTCGTTGCGAGCTACGAGAGGTCTTCCGTCCGATTCAGGAAAATATCCCCGTATCCCCGAGCCTGATTGAACCTGGTTGACCAGGTGAAAATTCAATAAACTATCCATTACGCTACTTGGAGCTCTGCTCTAACTTTACTTGTTTATACTTCTACAACAGTATATCTGTCTTGGAATTTTGAACGGCGTGTCACTATTCATAATTTTGCACCAAGCGCCATGAGTAAATATTCGTGTCTTTTCTTTGGAGTGTTCAATTAAATAGACGTGATAACTTTAATGAAATTAAAAAAAAAACAGAACGTTCTTATCGCCTATATTTTATTTTGAGGTTTAGAAAGAATATTTAATAAATTGTACAGATTGCATATTGTATCTAGCCCAGTAACACTAAAGCAGTGAAACAACACTTAAGTTTTAGTTTGACACAGCATTGCAACGTAACTACTACGTGACAATCCAAGTAGTCTTTTACATTTTATTTATCCTTATGTTAGAATCATTTCAGCAAACGCTCGGCTGCCTCCATAAACCCCGAATTGTGAAATGGCGGAGTTGACAGAGACAGCCGCCATTTTGGTCCCGCTTCAGATTTTCAAATATTAATATCTAGAGTTCAGGTTAATTAATATTCAAACAACTTATATAGTAATCATCAATCAAAGGGTCTCTATTACCATTCCAAAAATAAATAAAAAATATTGAAAAACAAAAAAGTTAGAAAATACGATTTTTTCAACTCGCTTCTCCTAACGACAGGAAGTACCGACGACGAACAAAGAGTCGCGTCCAGGATAGTATATATCACGATCTATAATCACTGAAAGTTTCACGTTGATATTTTTTACCGTTTTTGAGTTTAATCGTGGACAAAATGTCATTTTAATTTCAGAAAATTGTCCGTAACTTGGCACCGGAAGTGGGTTTCCAAATTTTCTCTCAGATATTATAAATTCATGTTACGACACATCTGTCCTGAAAATTTCATGTAATTTCATCCGGTAGTTTTCGAGAAATCGCGTGCACAAAATTAGAAAGTCAGAAAAATAAGAATAATAATAATAACTAGATACGATCTCGTTGCGAGCAACGAGAGGTCTTCCGTCCAATTCCGAAAAAACCCCGAAAATTCGAGCTGTAAAAGTGAAAAAAATATTGCACACAAGGGGGATTGAATCCAAGTCGCGAGCATGAAAATCCAATTTGCTAAATATTACGCTATTCGGACCTCTGCTCTTCTTAATCTTCTTGTATAAACCTCTGTATATCAGTGCTTTTGTCTTAGAATTATGAAAGGCTAGTCACTATTCATAATTTCGCGCCAAACGCCACGAATTAAACTTCGCGCCTTGTTTTTGGAAAGTTCTACTTAATAGCTGTGATAGCTTCAATGAAATAAAAAAACATTCGTATAGCCTAAACTTCGACGATTAGAAAGTATATTTAACACATTTTACAATGCATTATAGTATGTAAGCTAGTAACACTAAAGCAGTGAAACGGCTATGAATTTTATCTTTTTTTTTTTTAAAATTTCCTGTTTATCGCCAAAGTAAACTATCCTGATTAGTTAAACATTCATAATGAGTTTAAAATGTATCGCCGAAAAAAAATGGCTCCCCTAAGGAATTGGATACCATTTGTGCAATCATGGCTTTGCTATTCTTGAGAAGATTTTTAAAGAATTTTCCTATACATTTCTATGTAAAACTTTGGTCGGCCATTTTGGCCCCGCCCTACCCCTGGGGGTCATGATTTGAACAAACTTGAATCTACACTACCTGAGGATGCTTCCATATAAATATGATCAATTATGGCTTTGTTATTCTTGAGGAGAAGATTTTAAAAGAATTTTCCTATATATTTCTTTGCAAAACTTTGATCGGCAATTTTGGCCCCGCCCTACCCCTGGGAGTCATGATTTGAACAAAATTGAATCTACACTACCTGAGGATGCTTCCATATAAATATGATCAATTATGGCTTTGCTATTATTGAGAAGATTTTAAAGAATTTTCCTATATATTTCTATGTAAAACTTTGGTCGGCCATTTTGGCCCCGCCCTACCCCTGGGGGTCATGATTTTAACAAATTTGAATCTACACTACCTGAGGATGCTTCCATATAAATATGATCAATTATGGCTTTGCTATTATTGAGAAGAAGATTTTTAAAGAATTTTCCTATATATTTCTATGTAAAACTTTGGTCGGCCATTTTGGCCCCGCCCTACCCCCGGGGGTCATGATTTGAATAAACTTGAATCTACACTGCCTGAGCATGCTTCCATATAAATATAATCAATTATGGCTTTGCTATTCTTGAGGATAAGATTTTTAAAGAATTTTCCTATATATTTCTATGTAAAACTTTGGTCGGCCATTTTGGCCCCGCCCTACCCCTGTGGGTCATGATTTGAACAAATTTGAATCTACACTACCTAAGCATGCTTCCATATAAATATGATCAATTATGGCTTTGCTATTCTTGAGAAGAAGATTTTTAAAGAATTTTCCTATATATATTTCTGTGTAAAACTTTGGTCGGCCATTTTTGGCCCCGCCCTACACCTGGGGGTCATGTTTTGAACAAACTTGAATTTACACTACCTGAGGATGCTTCCGTATAAATATGATCAATTATGGCTTTGTTGTTCTTGAGGAGAAGATTTTTAAAGAAATTTCCTATATATTTCTATGTAAAACTTTGGTCGGCCATTTTGGCCCCGCCCTACCCCTGGGGGTCATGATTTGAACAAATTTGAATCTACACTACCTGAGGATGTTTCCCCATAAGTTTCATCTTTCCTGGCACAGTGGTTCTTGAGAAGAAGATTTTTAAAACATGTTACCAAATTTTCATTAATTCCCA